TGTGTGTGTGTGTGTGTGTGTGTGTGTGTGTGTGTGTGTGTGTGTGTTCCAGCTTTAATCCAGTGGCTCCGACTGCAATGATGAAGGTTCTCACTTGCATTTCCACCCAGGAGGCAGCAAAGGTGAGACTCTGTTCACAGTCATTTGCATACGTGTGTGTTTGTCGTCTGCATTGTGTTCGTGTGCTGTTCTAAGCAGAGCTGCAGAAGCGTGTGCGTCCCAGACCAGACGCTGTTGGAAACGCTGTGTTCAGGAAGCTCTGGAGATATTCGCAGTGCCATCAACAGCCTCCAGTTCTCCTGTTTGGCCACTGATAGCTGTGAGTATACAGATGTTACATTTACTATAAATGACTTCTGATCCTAATGATTCAGTTTATTCTCACTAAAACTTTTCAGCCGCGTCAGTGGAAACAGGTTTGTGGAGGACAAAGAAGGACCGGTCAGTGTGCAGAGCTGGCTCCACAACAAGTCAAAGGAAGAAGAAGTCCAAACAGGAAGAGGAGCTCGCCATCGGAGGGAAGGATGCCGCTCTCTTCCTGTTCAGAGCACTGGGAAAGATCCTGCACTGCAAACGTTAGTCACTCCCACTTTCAGCTTCCTCACAGCTGCTTTTGTCATCTTTGCAACAACAGTAAAATCTCTGATCTTTGTCAGAACTTACACATTTATCCAAGTGAACAAACTCAGCTAATAAACACCTGCTATTTCCTTTTTTATGTCTTTAACCCACTGACTTTGCCACTGAGCAGGGTGGAGCAGGGTGGGCTAGGGTGGAGCAGGGTGGGGCAGGGTGGAGCAGGGTGGGGCAGGGTGGGGCAGCTGCTGGGGGTCACATTTTCAGTTAAGGGTCATTAAGAGGCCCTGCTGTATAATTTTAGGTAGATGGTAGATGAGTGGGTGAGCCAGTCCTGAGGAGATGATGAGGTCACAGTCACTAAATAAACTGTTACATGATGTGATATTACAGAGTTACAGAATGTAACAAAATAATAGATACAAAGAGTCGTAATTATAAATATCCCAGTATGTCACATCGAGGTGTATCAGACGGTGCCATATTTCCTCTGTAGCACATGCAGAGATGGTAAAGGGTGGAGGTGCTGTCCAGCTCTTCCTTACCTGACACCACCTTAAGAAGCTCCAGCTCCAGCCCACAGTGTTACTGGCCTTGTGGATCAGTTTGAGTGTGTTGGGAGTCACGACCCTCAGCCTGTGGGGTTGCCTACAGACCCGCACAGGGGCACGGGCCTCGAGGACTCACCTGATCCGGTCCTGTGGACTTGCCTGAGTCTTCTCATTTGTCTCTGAACGTGGTCGTGAGTGAAAGTGTCAGGTGTGGAAGGGTGTCAGGGCTTTGGCAGTGGTGTGGCTGTGGATCGCAGGCTGACTACAGGTGACCTCCTGGCTCTGTGCTCGCGCTGTCAGCTCTCTGCTGTCCTGTGGGATGTGCACTACAGTTTAGTTTCTCAGTGAACAGCGGGGGTTGAGCACGCAGCCCTGCAGGGATCCAGCGCTGAGTGACTTGACTGGACCAACTTTGGGGGGGGGGGCTGGGGTTGTGTGGGAGGGGTGGTCTCAAACCAGGTGAAGAAGCAGGTGAGCTCCTCTGCTGCTGTGAGGCTGCTGTCGGGGGTTGGGGGGCACTGGGCTTGGACGTTGGAGAGGGCCTGGATGCCTGTGAGACCTGGTGGGGGAAGGAGCCCTCTGTCCTCCCCCTGCTGCCTCCTCGGCCCGTTTGATGCCCCCCCCTCAGGTTGGCTGCACAGAGAGCTGCCCCTCAGACTGAAGGCTGACTTACAGTTCGGACTTTTCTCAGGTGTTTGGTTTGGGAGAACCTGGATCGTGTTGGTCGCTGTCACGTTGTCCACACAGACTGAGCGATGGTCTGCAGGTCCAGCTGTCCGAAGATGAAACAGTGCTGAGAGCATCATCTGGACATGTTTTAATGAACCGAGGGTGGAGGGGCTCCTGAGGGTGGTGTAGGCAGGGATGAGGAGCAGAGAGAGGTTACTGCACACATGGTCCGGTGTCCTGGCTGCTCTTGGTAGGACCGTTAACATGTTGGTGGAGTTTAGAGCCGTGCAGGTTTCAAACAGTATTAAAGTCCCAGCAGCAACATGGACGCCTGCTGCTCTCTCAGCTGTCTGCTGATGAGAAGCTGGAGGTGGCTGAGTGCTGAGCTAACGTTAGCATTGGAGGGGATGTAAACTAGGGTTACTATGGTAACTATGGCTACCATTAGTCCCCGACTGTCTCAATAGGCCTGACTGCACATGGGCTCTATGTCTGCAGTCCTGGAGCACACAAGCCCCACCCCTCCCCTTTGTTTCGGTCCTGGTGGTGTCCGCTCCGGACCGTAGCTCCGCTGAGGCGTTGAGGGTGAGCAGCCGGGACGCTGTCGGACAGAACATTCAAAGTAAATCTTTGATTGTAGCTCATCCGTCGTTTCCTCAGCGTCACTCGCTGATCCGTGCGTTACACAAAGACACAACATAAAACCATAGAAACAGGAAAAGCTGCGCAGCAGTGAGGAGCGCTGTGACGCTCGTACCAAGTTGAATAGGTAAAGATAAATGAAAGCATTAATTAATGATCAGACTTTTAGCAGTCTGGCAGGAGTCGAGTTTAATATGACACTGATGGTTTACAGCGAGACGTGATTGAATTTGACTAAAATATATTTTATTAGAAACGGTGCTCAGACACCTGTGGGATGGCTCTGAATGTTTTTTAACATTTTATTTGAAGAACTTGATGAAGTCATCAAGTTTAAAGGAGAGCTCGGCTCATCAGTGCTGAAGACAAACCTGAGGTTGTTCTCAGTGATGAGTAGCACCAGGTCCAACCACAGAATAGCTCTTTGTTGTCATTGTTCCTTTACAACGAGACTGTCGGTGTAAGACAGCAGGAATAAAGAGCAAACAGGATAAATCTGTACAGTCAGGAGGGAGACGTACAGAACGAGAGGGAGGCACACGTTAATGTTTAATGTAAGAAGAAATGCAGAACGTGTAGAGTAGGGCTAGGTTTTTATAATCGATTTATCGATTAAAATCGATTCTGGCTTGGATAACGTAAAATCGATTCATTAAAATCCTGAATCGATTTTTTTATATAAATTTATTTTGCCTGAAACGCCAGAATCTCTGGTGAAGCCTCACAAAACTTCAACAACCACCAAACAGCTAAAACAGTAAATGAGAGCAGGAACACGGATTGTGTTTTGTACTGTTTTCTGCATTATTCGCTTGCTTGTTACGCACAAGTCTACCGTTGTTTACAGGCTGTCGGCCGACGTTTTTTTTCTTTTTCGTTTTACTTACTTCTGAAAAGAAAACCTAATTTCTGCCGTTCAATACTGAACAAATTTAAACTTTCTAAAATTATACAAAATGCAAAACGCTGTGTCTCTAAAACCGCTGTAACGTCAGAGGTGATGTTCATATGTTGATTAATGGTTTTCCTTCGTTTTTGATGTTCTGCAGAATATTTTTATAAAATCCCAGAACAGGAAAATCTCCTTCATGTGTTTCTGTGTTTATCTTCAGCTACTTTGACACAAAGGCCTCTGCTGTGACGCTCACACCTTTGATAAAGTCTTGCGTGTGTCAGCTTCCTTTTTATAGATACAAAAATATGTAAATGTACTGATCTGAATTATAATATTTCTGACTGTCAAAATTTCCCAGATTCAAATCGAAGTGAATCGAATCGTGGATTGAATCGATTCGGGAAATCAGTGACGATACCCAGCCCTAGTTTAGAGGAGAGACACAACACAGTGAAAGCAGGACCTGATTCTAGCTGTGAAACACAGGAGGAGGATGTGACATCACAGAGCATCGTCTCACTGGCTGCTGTGACTTCAGTCACTCTGCGCTGACTTTGCTTAATAAATCACATGAATCTAAATCTGCTCAGTTTGTTTTATTAATGAAGAACAAGAACGTGTTTTTCTCTGGTTGCTGTGTAGTTGGAGCGTGAGTTAGAGCTTGCTGTCAGTCCACCTGTGTCACCTCGTTATCTTCTGCAGGAGCACGTGAACACTAACGCTGGTGCACTGTGCCTTTGTCATCGACAGGAGAGAAACACGAACGTGCTGACGGAGCTGAGGCTGGTTGTGGGCGTGGTCTACCCTCCCACCTGCTGCATCATCACCGAGCAGCCTTACTAGTCGACCCCGAGGTGCTGATCAGCTGTATTGATTTCTCTTTGCTTACAGGCGCATAAACAGTCTGCTGACGTTTGCTTTGGTCTTTTCTTGTCAGCTGGTTGTTGAGCGTTCTCACATGTCCGGAGAGTTCTTCAGCCTCTACCTTCACCAGAACTACTTGGACTTCTTCTGTGAGCTGGAGGATGTGGAGAGAGCCAGCGAGTATCTGTCTGATGCTGACCTTCTCACTGCTGATTGGACGGTCAGTCCTAACATCGTTCTCATTTCTGTGGTTGTTGTTTCATATCAATGTGAGGAACCAGCAGCCCGATGCAGAGCTCAGTGATCCTCGGAGTCCCGGCCAGTACAGAGATCAGATGATGTGCTCATCTCTGTGCTGATGTTCAGACTCACTTCAAAGGAACTAAATGAATGAATAACATGTGAGGATGCTGGCCGTTAGTTGGCGTCCTCCTCATTTTTAACACTATTTTTTAAAATCTTTTGGAAACGTGATGCATGGATCACCTGCGACAGAGAGACTCTGACACAGCATTCAGTCTGGGACACCAGCAGACTGGGATGGCGATTGTCTCGGCTACGTGATCGGGAAAGCCGCCTGAAGAACAGGGAGGAGCTGCTGATGAACAGACGCCACTTCGCAGCGTTCTTCTAGCTCAAGTCCAAACTTTGGAGAACGAGCTGTCTTTATTTTTACAGAGAGGCTTACTTCCTGCCTCGGCTGTTGTTCCTGCGGCATCTCCTCTCACTGTCGGGACGCTGGGAGGAGGGGGCGTGTGCACACTCACTGAGCGACGGTTTGATCGTGGACACTTGATCAGAGAGTTTACAGCTGTGTTCTGCTGTTTATGTTCCCTCCCACGCCGACACAACGCTGCCACGTGACGAGCTGTATGATGTCATCGACCAGCAGGAAGCACTACACCCTAAAGGGGCTTTCACTGTGACGGGCGACTTCAACAAAGCCAAACTAAAGAAAGTTCTCCCAGCATGTAGACGTCACATCGCTCAGCCAGAACTTCCTGACCAGCCTTCAGCAAATCAGGAAGCTCCGAGCCAGATGACCTCACGCTTTCACAGCATGCACTTGTGAACTGGCAGCTGTCTGCACAGACATGTCGCTGCTTTTGTCTTTAGTCCCCTCATTTGATGGACCACCATCATCCCCAAGAAACCTAATGTGAGCGCCCTCATTGGCTATCGCCCAGTAGCGCTCGCCGCCATCGTTATGAGCAGGGATGAGTATCGATACGATTTTCACGATTCCATTTTTGATTCTTTTTTAAAAAGGAGAACACTAAGGTCGATTATCTTTGTTTTATCTTCTCTTTGAACAAGAGAGAAATGTAGGAGTAACATGGCCTTACAAACCCAACAGTGAGGTCTTAAGAGATCCACAGCCTACGGCTCTTCAATGGGGGGTCACAGGGTCCCCAGGTCAGTAGCGTCAGTTGACGAGTCATGAGAACTGCCCGAGTTTTAATTTTTCCCCCGAGTGCGACGAAACCCACAGACTGAGCAGCAGGTGTGATTCAACGTTCACCTTGTTGGTAGCGCTCGTCTTCCATATTAATTCCACTGCGGGATGCTTGGACACGTTGCTATGACGACAACCACACAACCTGAAGGAGTGCGACTCTGACTGCAGAAAGATGAAGGCTGTGAAGAAGCCTCAGCTGGTTAAACTGTGTTACATACAACACAAAGTTAGAAGTAATTTACTGCAGGAAGATGAACATGGCGAGGAGCAAACACCTCACGTCCCTCCTTTGGTTCTCACATGTTGTTTTAAAACACCAAGAGGATGATGGTGAAAAGCACACAACCAACAGGCGAGGTCACAATCTGCCCTGACCCTCAGTGCGGCGGATTACACCTGCTCTCAGGTCCAAGAGTGGAAACTGTTCTGCTGCTACAGCAGAGCTGTCAGCGGCCTGTACTGCTGTGTGTGTTGCTGTGTCTGTGTCTCCTGTATGAAGGGCTGTCTGTGCTGTTTCCAGAATCGCAGCGTTTTGGGGGATTATGGGTCGTCAGTGGCCACGAGAGGCCTCCTTCACTCCAACTCTCAGCTGGCGTCGGTTGGCTTCAGAGCCCTGCACAAACCCAGCTGGCTGCTCGTCAACAGGAAGGTGAGGTCAGAGGTCACAGCATGAGTGGAGCTCAGCTGTTAAACATTTAGTGTTACTTTACTATCTGTGACATTTCAGATGAGTAGCGTGAAAATACACTGGACTGTGTTCATGAAATGTATCCTGTAGTCATCAGTAACTGGTTCAACATCTTCCTCCAGACTCATCAGCTTCTTTTTGTGACGTTTCTCTAACTTTTGTACTATTTAAACTATTCAGTGTTTTCATGGAGGTTCATGCGACTCTAAATGCTTCTTCATGTTTTCACCATTCAAAGTCGATGACAGTGTTTCGTGCTTCATCGTCAGCTTCAGTCACAGGTTACACTGAGTGTGTTGGCACTTACAGTAGGAGGAGTGATAGAGTTCATCCTTCAGCTGCTGCTGAGCCCATATTAACAGCCATAATCTTACCCACAATTCATAGAGCCACACTTCTTCTTTCAATCGCTCGTCTCTCCAAACTAACAAATGTAAACATTTTGATGATCCGAGCAGGAGGAGAACCTTCTAACTGAAGCATGGGGGATATTTTAGTCTGAACAGCAGGACAGACCCTGTTTTTGTTTAAAGTCCTCTGATGATCACATGTTTGACATCAGGAACATAACAAACGTTTGTGTAGAACTTCTTGGCACTGAGTTTAAAAACCACTGGTTAGTGTCCTGGGTTTAGAAGCAGTCCATCGATGGCTGCACCAGAGTAACATGTCAGCCATCACTGCAGCTCAGCTGTTGGTAGGAAGGGGAACAATAAACCATCCAGACCATATCTGTCCCTCTGTGGGAAAGAGACCACGGTGACAACGAAACGTCTGGAAAAATCTTCTGTGAACTGAAGAGTTCAGTTTATTTTGACAGGTTTGAGTCCCAGCTGGTGCAGCACTAACATCACCACACCAGTCAAACATGGTGGTGGTGTGCTTTGCATGGCTGATTAATGAAACAGGAAATCTGCTCTGTACCAGGAACCTGAACGAGGATGTCAGAAACAAACCAGCAGGTTCACCTCTGAAGACTGATGAAGACTCTCCAGCACCTTCAGTTTTTTAAAAAGGCCCAAACCCATCGACATGAACCTAAACAGGCTGCTCATGCTGAACAACCCTCCAATGTGGCTGAATTCAAACTGTAAAGAACAGTTGGCCTAAACGTCTCCACCTCGGTGTGAAAGACTCACTGTGACTTATCTT